GTGGGGGGGGGGGGGGGGGGGGGTTAGGGGAAGGGGCTCTTTTGTCATTTGCACAAGTTCAAAATCAATTGGTTTTGGTTTACCATGTAGTTTTTTCTTACCAGTGCCTGGCTTTGGTGATTCAGTCGGGGTGGGCGGCTGGCTGGGACGAGCAGGAGAGGGACGTTGACTCAACATGTCAGGTGTGGTAGAACGGGATGTCTCTCGGGACTGAAAATAAACCATCAAATTCTTGAACTCACAGGTGACATGCAGTATGGGTCTAAGCATTTGTTTTAAAACTTAAAAGAATAACCATTAATAAACATCTGATTCCTCTACCAGTACGGTTAGCCACATATAATTTGTTTGTTAGAGTTTTAAATTAAAATTTATTTCAAACTTCTTTTGCTTGCTAGCTACATATGTACAGTGTGTGTAAAATGGGTTGTGAATTATGTTAATATTCCAGTTTGGAGGATAAAAAATTTTTTCACTCAACAAAATATACGTCGCAGTCCTACCTTCCTATCTTTGGTGCTGGAGAAGATACCGTCCTCCTTGCTGCTGCGCACTGACGTATCTGCTCCGTAGCGGATCAGCAACATGACCACATCCATGTGGCCACGTCCCGAGGTCGCCTGCAGGGCAGTGGTCCCGCTGTAGTTCTGAAGGTTGACGCTGCACCCGAGATCCAGAAGTTTTTTCACCATCTGGTACTGGTTGTTCTCTGCTGCATGAAACAGGGCAGTTTTTCCACTTTTCCCATCCTGGGGAGAAAAAAATTAAATATCACTGACATGATGATTGACAGAGGTGAGATAAAAATTGGTAAAGTCCTTTATATCATGTCCTCATTCAGGAGCATGAAATGCAAAACAAATGACAAAATTCTTCAGAGAGATAATCAACTTTAAAGTCAGAAAGTCTGTTATCACTTAATAGGTAATGACAACTTTATATAAATAAATTTCTGTCTGTTCCAAGATTGTCCCAAATGAATCAAACCTGGGCAGACAACTCCTTCCTTAAATCTGAAACAAATCTGACATCATAACTGAACCAATTTTCAAAGAATTCTGCAGAAGAAACAACAATTCTGTAACTCAACCCGTTTATTCCCGTAATTGTTTTGCCTACACATCCTTCATCTTACCATTGCATCAACATCAGCTCCGTGCGCCAGTAACAACTCCACGGCCTCAAAGTTGTTGTGGGTAACTGCTACATGAACGGGAGTGTGGCCTGCAAGACAGACAGAAACTTCAGTCAAATCTCCTCCTTTTTCCCAACATAAAACTTCAAACACTGTCACCACTTCTGTATCTCTTGATCATTTGTGAAAAGAATTGAATGACTTAAACAGCTTCACAATTTTCATTTACTTATAAGAAGTTGTGTTTAAAATCATATTACCTTTCACTGATTAAAAGAAATCTTTTTTATAATGAGCAAAGCATGTTTTATCATAGTAATGTTTCAGAACAATAATTGCTTTACTGAAGTTGACTACATAACTTTGGCCTTAAAGTTTAGACCAATTTTGGGGCTAAAGCTATATTTTGCAACCAGACCCCTCCTCCCCCCCCCCAATGTCCCCCATCTACAATACTACCAAGCCTACATCTACACAAGTGATGTCTGTGATTACAATCTTTATGGCACAATATATCACAGCACAGTAATATAAGTGAATGGCAACCAATTCACCTAGAGCTAGGAAAGACAGTGACACAAGAAGAGCCAGCAAATCACACCAGAGCACACAAATCATTGATCATACCACCTTCGTAATCCCTGGCGTTTATCTCCGACTGAATGTCCGACTGGCGTAAGAGAATCTTGAGGCAGTCATTAGGCGGCCGTTTCGCGGCAAGATGGAAGGCGTTCTGTCCATGGCGGTTCGGTAAGGCTGTGGTGGCGCCATGCTGCAGGAGTTTCACCACTAGCTGCCATTGCTGGGTGATCACAGCCAAGTGAAGGGGAGTCTGAAACCACACAGTTATTCAGTATTTATAATTGAAGAATATGGTCGCACTCAGAACAGGAGACTAACTAGTGAAAGGTGTCAGTAGAAACTTATAAACATCAACACATCTAGATACCATGTACCTTGGTGATAAAGAGCAAACTGTTGAAATTTTCAAGAAAATTACATACATGTTCATCTCTAGGAATAGAGAGGTCTAAAGCTCACTACTAGTCTTGTAATTGAAAAAAGTCCAGTAGCTTACCTGTCGCAGTTTATTATACACATCCACTGACACATTGGACATCTTCATGAGTTGAATTAACTTCTCCACAGCTTCTGCCTCCTCCTGTACCACTGCGATGTGAAGAGGCCTGTAAAAATCGCAGAAAGAGGTTCTTCAGCCCATTCAGACTAGAAGATCCTGGATCTTCTGAACCATGGATCAAATATGGCAGACCCTTCATGAAAGAAGAGCCGTCACAATTTAGCCGACATTTTCAAACTATGAAACATGCAGTTTTGTCTCTTTAAAAACAATTTACCCTATTTTCTATTTAAGTTAACTGTTCAGGATTCTTGGAACTTTGAATATTGGAAAAGTCACACAAGTTTTGAATGTCTCTCTAATTTTTACTTCAGTGCTACATCCTTTACCTCATTTACTTTTACCATGATACTTCTTTGACATTATTTGCCCAAAAGTAGAGGTTCAGAAAAATTAACATTTTAAAGTAAATCTAGCAATATTTTGCAAAACTAAATGATCGTCTAAGTCACTAATAAGATCGCTGTGGGGTAATTGAGCTCCTGCTGACAACAGTGACACAAAAAGACGTCATAATCAGGACATGGCATTTTCCATGAAATTAAACTGCCTTCCAGCCCTGCAGGAAACTACTGCATGTTTACAGTTGTTTCATTTTGAACATCCAAGATGTAACAAAAAGATTACACAGAGAGTAAGGACATTATACTCTATCAAACTATGATCAGTCTTTATTAAAACAGGCCTGTATTACATAGTAGCATAGTAATAGTGCCTTCCCTATATAGGCACATAAAATGGCACATTAAAATTTTAATTTTGTGTCCTCTTACAAGTCCCCATCCTCGTCCTTTCTGAGAGCCATCTGACATTCTGCGAGCATAATCAAGCTTTGCTGTGGATCAACCGCCATGACAGCTGCGCCAGCGGCTGTGTTGTATATGGCAGGCTGTAGGCTGGGGGCAGTGGTAACGGCTGGAATGCTCACGGAAGCACTGCTGAGAGGAGCTGAAAAGGTGCAAACATAAAATTGTCAATGAGATAACAATTTTTTTTTTACCAATTAGACATGAAAAATACCTTCACCAGATGACAGCCTTGTTTTATGCAGCTCCAAATGTTGTCATTTCAGATTAGTTTTTGTCCAAATGAGGGCAACTCATTCTTTTAACTTAGGTCAGGACTTATAATTAGATTCAATAACTTGTAGATGTCACCCTTTCACTGCTGCATATATTTTACCAGTTGTACAAGTGAACATAATATAATACTTTTAAAATGTCAAACACATTAATTTTTTAATTCAATCATACATTTTAGTTAATTAAAGGGATAATAACTCTTCGTTTCGGCCAAAAAATGAATTTTCCTGGAATAAACAACAATTTTCCCATACTTACCAATGGTTAATGAATCCATTTTTACATTCAAAGTTAGTCCCTGGTTTTTTTCTAAAAAGTTTGGTTTTTTGTTTAACAGAGTATAGCCATCAATGGAGGTCACATGGTCTAAAGACAAGCTCAGATATCAGAATAATAGCTATAACTGCCCTTTTTGTGGTAAAACAGAATATATTATATTTCTATGAGTTATTCACAATGTTTTTATTGTGAAATATAGATCTCATATGAAGAGTTATTATCGCTTTAATCAATTAATTATTTTATTTATTTCAATATTTTCTTTATATTATTTTCATATAATCATTCATTCACTTTTTCTGTTTGTTAGTTTTTCCCCCCTTAAAACTGTGCCTTGGTATTTTTTCCATGCAGAAGCCCTGAAAAGGGTTGATCCAAATCATGAAGTCCCCACTACGTACCGACCTTTACCTATCATGGCACCACCGATAAGGTCAGCTTATCTTGCAGGACGTCTAATGTTCAATATCGCACTTTTATTGATAACATGCTATCAGGTTACAATTGATCTGTTTAAATGTTAACAGGGTCATAGTAATATAGGTCACAGTTTTGTAAGTGCCCTTGAGATATCTACACTGTATTCTAGAGTACTTTTAAAACATTTTCTACCTGAATTAAATGTATATATAAAAATATAAAAATAACAGATCCTGGGCAAGAGCATTAAATGGTACAGATAAAAGAGGATTTCTTCTTAACTGTTCATGTTTATCATTAATATTCATTTATTTATTTTTATTCAAATTTATTGGTCATCATTCACTTTTTCTACAATGTTCTTAATTACCACGAGTGTCTTGCATATTTCCCCAGGGTCAAACAATCGCCAAGCTCAAACAAATAAATGATAGTGACTCAACTGTTCAAAAATCTATAAAAAAATTATATGCAATTCACTTAGTAACAACATCCGTCATTTTTCCCCACATACTCTATGAATTTAACCCCAGTACCCTTGAAATGCCCTCAAGTTACAGTTTTACTTCCGTCTTTTGGGTCCACACATCTAACATACGAGAGAGATGGAAAAGAACAGAGCAGGGACAAAGGGACCAACATTCCATTGATCCATTCTTATGTATTCAATTCATATGATCCCGTTCAACTAGTTTTCATACACACGCATACACACATCAGATCCTGGTGACCTAGTTCTGCTTGAATAATGACAAACAATTCTGTTCACAAGGTTTCGAAAAACACCATTCACTATGCCTGTCATGAGCTATAAATAGATATGAGTGCGCTGGTAAAGGTTGATGGTTTTGGTTGTGTGGAAATATTGTAAGGCAGAGAGGATAGGGGTGGAAAGTGAAATATGTTTCAACATTTCTTACACAATTGTAGTTTTGCTGCTAGGCTTGACACAAATCATGAACTATACTGCAATTCAACATGCACAAGTTAATACACTTGTACATCATAGGGTTAACTAAGAAGGGGGGGGGGGTTCTTATATGCTAGGTCCATTAGTATAAAATTACAGTAATGGCCCAATCGTTTCAACAAGGAAAATGTTAATTTTACAGATACTGCATTTTTCATTGAGTGGTAGCAACACAGTTGAAAAGCAGACTACTTAATAGCTCTATGTAATACAGTAAAAGCACCAAAATGCTTCATAGCAATGTATTTTTAATGGTTCCAAAATTATGTATCTAAAAAATTGATAATTTATCTTGGTTGAAATGATGTAGCCAATACTGTAGTTAAATATATAATCTAAAACTACTGTTGAGACCAAGGCAAGGGCAGGCATGATTTCTTAATCCATTTTGCCTGTTTTACTGATAGCAATGATGCTTCTGCAATTCCATATATCCGGTTTCATTGTATTGTACTAGTAAACATGAGCTGTTCAGAAAAGCATACTCATAGCAGGTCTGTAGCCAGCAATTTGTTATACTGAATATGTTAACCTTTTTAACCACCTTAACTAGAGAAACAGCATAGAACCTAGATCGTAGCCCACTTCGGACTTCATCTAGGAAATCCTCACTAACTAAGGGGGCTTAACAGCCACTGCTGCAGCTTACTTTGACTGCAAAAAAAAACTTTTATCTCTGTCAGATCTGCTTAAAACAAAGGAAGTCTAGAATTATGACACACCTCATTAGAAAGACTTCCACAGTTATGAAATTACTTGTTAATTATTTTCAATGTGGTTTTACATGAATCAATTTGGTTAATGAGAAGAGGAAGGAATTAAGGTAATCATCTGCTAATCTCATGGGCTATAGGCAGAAGAAGACTTAAAGGGCAAATAAAATAAATCTGAAACTGAAAATTTTCTAACATGTTATCATTTTTATAATAACAACAACATAATTATTATTATAATAATAATAAACATATCTTTAACATATTTAATCAGACTATCATTCTTAAACAAAATATTTAAACATATATACGAAATGCAAAAACAGATGCATACTCTTCTCAGGACTGCTCTGTGCAACTTTCATCTGGCTTGCATCTGTTTCTGCGTTCTCTGCAATAAATCTCCGTTTCTTCGGCGGCAGTCGTATATTCGTCGTAAAACTCGGTGGCCCTCTCCCACTGGTCTCACTGCCAATGCTGCTGATTATGGCAGTGTCCACACTTGAGGGATTACTGGCCGGAGAGGACACTGCACTGTCCACCGTATGTGGGTGGTCGGGGGACTTAACACCACCCTCTGTTAAGGACTGCTGTTTAGGGGCTGCTGGACGTGGCCCAAGTCTTAATTCTAAGGCTGACAGGACTGAGGGCCCCACGGGGGGCTGGTTCGATATTAACATGGTGCCATTAGAAGCAGTGTTCGTTTTACTTGTCCTTCTCCCCCTCCCTGCGCCCCTTTTACCACCTGAACCGCCCCCTCGCGGCTTTTTTGATGGGGCAGCAGTAATTTCAAAATCCTCCGTGCTTCTTGAATGGCGGCCACGTCCAGCTCGAGAGGAACGCCGAGTGGTTGACTTATCGGGAGATGTTGCGCTTGGAGGAGTGGCTGCACTAGTTCCACATGTGATATTTGAGGACTCCGACCCTTGAACCAAGGCGTTCGGACGGGTTTGGAACCCATTCTCTGCACTCTGTATTCCGTTTACATTATTCGTAAAGTTTCTGTCAGTATTTCTCCCGGCTGTCGCCAAAGAAGACAGAATCAGCGCGGCCTCTAGATCGGAGGCAGTATCGTCCCTTTTGGATCGTTTTCGTGCCGCCATTAATGTCAATAATTCTAGTTTTGGATCGCGCAATATAAATGTCTTGTTCAATTTAGTCGATTTCCGTTCATTCTCAGATCAGCTGGGTATGTAATAATCTACATTAAAGAGCACATGTCCCGTTCACGCCCCCTCATGTGTCCTAGCCGCTGATGCCATGTTAAAACCTGGTAAAACCCCAAAAACTATCGTTGGTCAAATGACCTCATTTCGTTTCAGGCACAGCTCGTTGCTCGGGAAAGTCCCACTTGTCATGTGATTAAATTGACCAATCGGTGCGCATGTTTACCAAGGTGATATCATCGGGGATTCCCCGAATAGCATACTGGGATTTTCCCGAAAAGTATTTTCCTAAGAAAATGTCATACGTGTAGGAATGGTTTTATGTCCGCATATATAGTGCTTACTCTCTGTTTTTATCAACCGGAATGAAAAACTTGTATATTTCTTACATAATCAATCCAATAATAGTCTTTAAGTAAATAAATAAATAAATGCAATAGAAAAAAATTGTTAATAATTTTATGTTTCATCCGCAATGTTGGAAAAATACTGAATAATTGTCCGATTATCCCGTCGTCTATTCATTGGCAGAGGCAGGGATGGTGGTTGGGTAGGTCAATGGGAGTAAGGGGGTAAAAAGCTCGTTTCCACCTTGCCATGCTAAACCGTAAAATAAGGCCTTTTCCACCCTGTGTTAGAAAGTTTCTAGGCCAGATGTGACGTCGCCTACAAATTATGTGCGTAGATCTAATTGGTGGTAGTTGCTGCATGGCTAGAATAAAAATATTAGATTTAATTCTATCAAGCTGGTGCGAGAATCAATGCAAAACGACTTCTAAAATTGCGAATGATATACAGTTACTGTATACTGCAAGGTGCGATGCAAGGTATACGGTTTTGACAGGACCTTAATTTGTATCAGTCTTTGGCCTTACGCAGGTATTAAGGCCTCAGTCCAACATGTTCCCACTTTAAATTTGACGTCACCTGCAAGCTTAAACATTAATTCTACTCGTCCAAGAAAATAAGAACGAGAGCTTGCTCTCCACCCTTATTTTGTTTATAGAAGTGCAACATCTTCAGTAAGCAAAAGAAGTCAATATTTTCTAGTTATCTAGCTGCAAAAAGCCTATTGAAAGCTTTTCTAACTTTTAATTTTAAATCAATAATTAATATTAAAATAGTAATTCCTTTCTATCTGGCAAGTTGAAGACATTGTTCCATACGCTCCACAGCTACTATTATTTTCTTTTAAAAGAATTGTTACCTTAGTGAAAAACTTTATTTTCTGTTTCATTCCAATTTTGTCAAATCCGCATGGCAGTGGCCTAAAAATTGACATGATACATTAAGATATATATCGCCGTAGAGGCAAATAATAGCAGGTTGTCTGTTCTTTATTATTATTATTATTATTGTTATTATTTTACACCTTTCAAACTGCTGCAGATCTTTTTTAATTTTTATCTCTCTATATGTTTCAAATAAATAGAAATAATATATGAGGAAAAATATCGTGGAAGGAAAAATACAAGTGGAGATGCCGGGGATCGAACCCGGGGCCTCACACATGCAAAGCGTGCGCTCTACCACTGAGCTACATCCCCTACTTGACTACCCACGTCGAAAACATAATATAAGTAAATAATGTATGTGAAATATGTAGGTCCTCCTTTTCATTATTTCATATTCAGTGCAAATTTACATATTGGTCAAAGAGAGGGTTATTTGTTTTCATTGTTCATGGAACTTTGTATTTCCAAGATCGATTACATGCGGGTTTCGATGTTTTCGTCATGATTTGGTTAGAGCTTTTGCCTAGAGTGCGCATGCGTAATCGTTGGTATCCTCAACGTGAACCAGTGAGCTTTACAGTCTGTNTCCACCCAGCAGATTTCGAGCTGCGCGTGCACACTGTCTGAAGCGACGGCCATTTTCGCACTACTTTCAGCAAAATCGAGTGAAAATGGACGACTTTTGAGCTCTTCGTATTTTCATGTGTAGTTTTGTCAACAGTTGATGTGATTAAACGATAGATATATAAAAAGAAGCGGGAATATCTAGGGATTCGGAATTTTAAGGTTAGTTGTCATAAAAAATAGATTCAGAACGGTAAAATGGAAGATTTATCCACGCGGGTGATTGCAAATGCTGTCCCGTTTCAGGTGTCCCAAATTTTCTATTTGAAGATCTCTATAAGAAGTTTAAATTGTACAAAGTTTTAAAAGCTAAATCATGAAAGCTGGTTAAACTGGGTCTCTGGCAGTATATATATATTGAAAATTCAGCTTTGTCCATTTTTTTTAGCGAGAGGTGAACTCGACGCCAAGCACTCGCATTTTTGAAGCGTGTGACACTTGGGTGTTTCAATTTCAACAAAATTGCTACAATGTTGATATCACCAGCGTTTTATATATATTCTAAAAGGTAAACAAATGTGCTTTGTGTTGATATGAAACACATGTTGCGTTTGGGTCCCAACTCGTTGGCAAAGTGTTCATATTCCCGTGAAGTCGGTGTAAAAGTCGGCAAAATCGATTTGTCCGGCTTCACCGAATTACAGTGGTTATGTATCGCAGGAAACGTAAAATATTTTTAAACAATTACATCCTACAGAAAGACGAGATCATGAACTTTCAAATGATATATCACAAGGCATGTCTCCTACAAATTTTACCCATTTTGTGTGGGGAAATTAGCGCATCTCCAAAACGACGACAAAAATGGAACCCCATTTTCATCAATTTATAGCGTCACGTGACCAACCTGAAGCACTGACCCGACTTGGCAAGACTACCAAGTTTTCTTAAATATTCTGAATATCAGAGCTGTGCATCTTACATCAGAAATATTCCAAGAGTTATGCTTCATTCTTAAAACATCAAAAATTGTATAGTTATGATCCACTCCACACGAAATCCAGTGAATTTTGACCGATATAGAAAGATATTGCTAGATCTAGTTATGAATAAAACAAGATTTTTTTAATTGAATAAATATTTACAAAGAGGTACTGGCATATGATCAGGTTGTACTTTTTAAAGCCTGAAAGAATTTTGATAAAAAAAATCATTCAACACCGGTTTAATCATTATATTAAGATCTGCACTTCTGCCTCGCTCTTATTTTACTGCTCAAGATTTATTTCTATGTACTAGTACTATTTTTGTCTCTTACATATTTAACTATTCAAAATAAGACACTTCCAATTGTAATTTGAAAAAATATCCCTAATCTATTTAAAATTTACCTTTCTCTTTTTAAAAGTGCAAAATTTTGAAATCTGTGTGATAAACAAAACTAAGTAAACATTTAAAACTCATGTCCTTAAAGCACTGTCCTGGGAAATGTTCATTCAGCCTCATGAATATGCACTGAACTTTTTGAAAGTTTTTTGAAACCTTTTGCCTTTTAAATTAAAGCAGTTAACAAGGCTCCAATAAACTCGTTGGCAAACTTGATCTGTCTATTCTGAGGGCAGGAGAAACACCTGCCCCAGCAATTTATGAATATTACTTTAGCCAAAACTGACATATAATTAAGATCATCCCCAGCTGAAAATTCTTGAATATAATTTGTAATTAAATACATATCAAAGTTAAGTGCATTAAAAATAAAAATAAAAAAAAAACTTCAGTATACGAGTATGTTTCAATTTTTTTTTATTTTATTTCCTTAGAATCTTCAATGACCAGGTCATTTACCTGGATATGACAATCAGAAAACTAAATCAATTTTCAAGTTCAAAATTGGGCCGTTTTCCAAGAGTGCCACCCTGCCACTTAGTTGATAGATTCCTTGACTAAATGATCATCAAAACGTGATCCCTATAAAACTGCTGTCAAAATTTTGTTAACTTAAGCATAATATTCCCAAAACTTGACCTCCAGTCAGATTCCATTCTTTTGAGAGCACTGTATCCTCTCTCCACCTGAGAAGTGGACAGGCTGAACAAGGCAATTTCAATTGGCATTATATTGTATGTATTCTAATCTTTGTGTGGTATCCCAGCCTTGAAACAAATCAGTACACATATCTTTACTTTTATTCACTATAAACAAGCAACCTATGTGCTCTTTAAAGACAGGCCACTCTCAATGTCTTTTGGGTCAAAGCCCATCCTGTATAATACTTGAAGAAAATAATGTTCCAGAACTTGTCTGCTATGAGAAAGGTTTCTAGGGAAAACAATATCCAAGACTCTACAAAACATCATCTCTTGTTCAGTCACACCTGCATCAACAGCACCATCAAACAAAATCGTATGGTAAATAATTCTCCCTCGTCTTGACCAGAACACCTCTTCCCTTATTGTCAGCTGATATGAAATTCGGGAATCTGTTAAAAATAAATATAATGAAATGATAAAATCATACATGTAGAAACAAGAAATTTATACAAAGCAGATAAAAACTGAAATTTAATGAAAAATCTATAGATTAAAAAAAAACTCACCTCATTGTCAGTCTCACACCAGTTGTTTATCAAAGTAATTTCTTACCATACTATATAGTAATAATAATTCCTTTGTCCTACTACTAGTAATAGGCCAGTTATAAAAAATACAGAAGTATTGGCTTTTATATATATATATATATATATATATATACACTTAATTACTTTCTGCTTTGTCTAACTGGTATCTTTTCATCATTTCATGCCATCAAGTCCATTCTCATGCTATAGCTTAGGCAGGGATAGGTATGCTGTCAACATTTCACTAAAACTGAAAAAGCACAATGCATAGGTCATAAATTAAAAGTGTGCATATGTTGATCATTAAGTGTGGCTCTGCCTTGACGAACGATTTTTTAACTTGTTAAATTTGAAGACTTTTTTACTACCAACAATTTCAGATAAATTGAGAAAATTGTTTTAAAAATCACAATATTGAAACCTGCCCCAGAAAGACCATTAGTACACATGTAATGCTGATTGCGCAATGTGCTAGTTAACAGGTGTGTATAGACACACTCCCTATTTCGAAAATGTCTAGATTCCAACTCTATAAAGGAAATAGAACGGATAAAGGTATGCTAGTAGGCCTACACATTGTAACAAAGTACAACTATAACTTTGCAACAAAATATAACATTTCACTGGTACTGAACGTCAACAAGTGCATCTAAACTATGCGAAGGGAGGTTACTCCAAAATCATTTCTATACATTTCGGCACTTATATGAAACTTAGTGAATGCAAAAAAGACTCACCTTTTAGTCTGCAAACCCAA